AACATTTATATTATAAATAAGAATAGAGAGACACACACAATTAAAATTTGGATGTTCCTCTAGGATATGACTATGAAAATGGAAAGAATATTGCGAGCAAATAATAAAGATATTAGCGAAGTGAAAAAAAAGAAGTGGTAAACTGTAGCTAATGTATAAGAGAAATACATGGAATGTTTGTGAGAGCGTGCGTTAGACAAGGGAAGACGTTCCCGGAACGAATGATGTATATGGTGATGAATAAATTGAATAGTAATATAAATAAATAATAAGAATAAAAATCGAATGGATATTATTGACTAAATGATAATGACCCCGGGGTATGTAGATATAAAATAAAGTATTGTTATTTGAAAATGAATTTATGGAATAACCAGAATGATAAGAGACAATTGAAAATTGTAAAGAAAAAGTATATATAAAATTTCAATTGGGATTAATAAGGAATTGAACAAAATGTTCAAAACATGCATATATGGAGATGGAAACATAAAAGCGAAGCTTCAGATAAAGTTTCAAGAAAATGAAAACAAAGGTAAAAACATATATAGTTAATAATAGTAAACAGTATTTTCTAATATAATTAGTGATGAAAACATTTCAAAGAGATACAAAAAATTTCGACCTATATGTAATGCATGCAGTAATTGAATGATTCAGCTAATAAAACAAATGTATTCATTAAAAAAGAGCAAAATATTTTGCAGTACGATTTTGAATGGATCGAAGAGCAAAGGATTGACATTACAGCACACAATATGGGTTAAATTACTGAAAAACAGTTTCAGATTCATACAATAATTTCATAAAAAAAATTAACACAATTGAAAAATAATACTAATGACAATGATGAAAACACAAGAATGGTGACAAACAATATCAAAGTGGACAAGAAGATTGTACTTACAAAGCGGTTTGGACTAACTGTCCACTAGAATCTCACAGCGAGATTGAATACAAAACAATTTTGAACGGAAAATACCGTCAAAACACAGAATTAATATACTGTAAATGATCCCAGAGTCGTGAATGATGTTATGGTTGACAATTTATTAAAGGCCGTTTTATTTTTTACAGACCGTTACAGATGTGGAGATGAACAATTGGACAATGGCATTTGGAATCAAGAATGCCCGAGAATTTATGAAAGAGTCTAACTGAAATTTGAGTTTACTTACAGATTCCCACCGTTTTCACTCAATTAGCGAAGACGAGCACTTGCAGCAATTTGGCCACGTACAAGACATTAATTGAATTGACTAAATAAAAAGTTAAACGTATGGCCAGAGGAACCTGGAACCGAGCAAAGATGAATCGAATTACAGATACGTGCCGTTTTAAACCTCATTAGGAGAAAGAGAGTACTTGCTGCAATTTCATGACGTGGTCATTCAGATGCTTTGATTAATTGGTGAGTTACAACTACAGACAAAAAGAGTTAAACGAAGTAACAGAAAAAGTAGGGTAATAAAATAAAAATACTAGCAAAACATGATGAAAGATATCAGAATAAGAAGTATGACACAAAGGAACAAAGTTAAGAGTAAAACAAGAAGTGTAATATCGACAATCAGATAAAAATGTTCAGTTAAAGTAATTAATTCTGAATTTGTTTGCAGAAAATAGATAGCATACTGATTATTTATTGTGTGGATGAAAATATGAAATTGAAAAAAATAAGAGCAGCAAGCAACTAACGAAGAATATTATTAATCATATCATGTCAATGATATCAAAGTATGTAAACCAAGTTAAAAAAAATATTATAGTTGATTCAAAAGATGAGTAGAAAATAATTTGAATATACCAAAGTTATAGTTTAATGAATGTTTTAGAGTGAAATTGATAAAAAAAATATCAAAAAGATAATTATTGGTGATACAGTGAGAAAGGGAAAATCGATTTTGGATATCCTTGGATGTACCAGGTGGCGAATCAGAGACGGTCAACAGCGAAGGAAGAGTTACATTCACAATCGCTAGATGACAATCGAAAGACAAATCATGCGGAAGATTGAAGATTGACGGTGTTGGGTAGGATCATCGGAAAAGTATAAGGAACAGGAAGATGGAATCGAGTGGTTTATCTAGGATAACAGAATTGATCAGCACATTATACGGTATAGATGAGCAATCTTCGGCATAAGCTTATCACACAGCATCTAAAAAGACAAGCTACTTCAGCAACGGTTTCGCAAACATCATCATAAAACTACAGAATATACAACGTAACGCTTGATATGACATCATTAAACATCAAACTCAAAAATGGCAATGAAGCACAAGCAAGTACACAACTAACGCATGGTATGGCACAAACAATAAATTGACTAGCTGCATATATAAACACAGATAGAAAACAGTGGTGGATAAAATCCAAAACAAGTTTACATCTTATAACGAAAATCATCGAAGATGTAGAATCATACTACACCATAGAGAAAGTTGAAGTTCTAATAAGCACTAAAAAGTTTCCAACAGAAACATACATAATGACGAGATGCGATCAGTACAAGACATAGATATGAAAGACGATGAAGAGTAACCTGAATGCGGCAAACAACGAATCATAGATGGCGGGGAATGGCAGATACACCCACACCTGATATTTGATATCAACCAAATGACGAGTCAGGAACAGCTTTCAATCGCACGGATGAACGAGCAGAAACGAAGGAGCTTTAACGAAAGGTACAATTTAGGATCACCCTAAGGTTAGGAGAAATATGGCAACAAGAAAGCACGAAATTTTCAAATCGAAGATTACCAACTCAAGCTTATTGATAATAATTTTTGCAAAATGATTCTCAACCTCAGTAAGTAAGGGGGGATGAAACAACCCCAAATTCTAACATCAATCCTTATAGTGAATTATTCGTTATGATTCTATAGAATGTTAACATTAAATATCAATTGCAACAAGAATGGTATAACTCAACTAAACGCATAATTAACGTAAGTCAGTTAGGCAAATTTTCATATCAGCAAAACGCGTGATAAAACTTGTTAACACAGATGATTTAGCCAAATGACAAAATTTAGTTAAAGTACGAACGACTGAATATGTTTATCAATAGTACAAAGTAGGGTCTTAAGAAAGGCACAGTAGGAGTAAGAACCATAATAAGAAGATCCAGTTAAAAATTTAGCAAATATAGAATAGATACCAGCGCATATCCTTGAGAAGAATCTCTTCGATATTATTCTCAAGCTGGTTAAGTAAGAGGGGATGCAAAGGCCTCAAAATCCAATATCAATCTGAGTAAGAAATTAACCAGTAATAGACCCCCATACGGTAGTAGAAAATACACAACTTAACAGCAGCAGTGACAATGTTGCACATTTCCAGGGTCAGTTGTTTATAAACAGTTGCTACCGCGTCGTCAGCGATGCGCGCTGGCTTAACTAGGTGCTTCGGGAAAGGTCAAAGTAAACATTGGTGAGTAAGCATCATACATAGCCGTTCCTACCGCGAGGAGCATTAATTCTTGTTAAAAAAAACAGACACCGACTTTCCAAGAGAAAAACTATCTGTCTCGCTTTACATGTACATACTGGAGAAAAACTATTGTGTAGAGTTTAAGTAACAAATTCATGTATAAAAGGTTTCGAAGAATAAAGAATCGGGGCTGTTGTTCTGATGAGTTTATTATCCGAGGTTTGCTAGGTGCGGACGAGCACAGTTCCAACCTCAGGATAACTGATTCATCAAAGAGCTTTTTCCATACAGTAGAAATGGAATTACACTGTCTTTCATTTTACGAAGAAAGAAAGACCACGCGAGTTGTTGCTCTCCGTTGGGTACTTCAACACGGGAGTGAAACATGGATGCGCAACGGAGTATGGGCGCTTCAGTGACCACCGCGCCGTTATGCATTTCTATATTGTTTATTTCAAATCAAGAGTATTGTTTATGTTCATAGATTTCACATAATCCTTTTCCCTTTGTCCTTCTCCTTTTCCTTTCCCTCTTCTCTTTTCAGAAAGCGAGTAATGGCGCTATAGCCATAAGTCATAAAAGGCTAGGACGAGAGTTAGTGCTCATGCCCCAACCGTCAGAAGAAAATGAAGTATCACTTAACCTTTCTAGTTTTGATGCTTCCAACGACCAACAAATCATATAATTACCTAAATCGGAACGTACGGTACGAGATGTTCGCGTTTCATCCATTTATTGGATTCTGAAGCATCGTGTTTAAATTCGATTTAATCAGGCCCGATTTTTTCTGAGTCATCTTGCCCCTTAAATACTGCACAGTAGGTCTGGTCGTTTGGATATGTGTTACGCATCTTTGATGTGAAACAGATATCAAATAGACAAGAAAAATGATGTAGGTATATATATATATCATTTTCCAGGATGCTTTCAACAACTGGCTGTGTTGGTGTTAGATAAGATAGATAAGATAGATGAGGAGATGAAAGTTTACGTTAGAGTGCGGCAGTGTGAAAATTGCATATAGAGAGTAGAAAGCGAGCTAGGACAACTTTTGGAAGGTACAAATCGAAACTATCAATTCTATGCTTTCATCTCCTCATCTAACGTATGTTACCGTTTGGTAACATTTAATTCATTTTTGTAGGTGTATAGGGCCCTTGTAGACGTAGATATAGCTAAATATAATGTAATGTAGTGAATTTAAATGTGTAGAATGTAAATGTTGGTAGGTTAGTAAAGGAGAGGATTTGCTTCATGGGTTAGAAGTGGTGATAAGCCACAACGCACTGAACTCAAAATTTATGAGCGGCGGAAAAAGAGATCTGGGCAAACGAAGAGCGAGGGAGTACGAACACGGTCAGGGTGCGAAGTGATCGAGAGCACGAAAAGACAGTGAGTAGAGGACTGTTGAGTGGTGCGGTTCAGAGAGTTGATTCGGGCGGTGTATCGTCGCCTGGCTGCGAATTTCTAACGTAGACCTCGTGGTGTGGAATCACTTTACCGGTATCATGCCGTCCATCTACTCGGCATGAGCACCCGATTGGCCAGACGGGACCTTCCAGATGTCGCCATCCAGCCGACGCCATCCGATCCTCGACATCCAGTCATCGCCACTCGCAGTGTCTCCAACCGACACTATCCGGCCGACCCTATCCAGCCGACACTATCCGGCCATTTCCATACGGCCATCCGGCCGCCGCCATCCAGGTGCCACCATCCGGGCGCCGCCATCCGGGCGCCGCCATCCGGGCGCCGCCATCCGGGCGCCGCCATCCGGGCGCCGCCATCCGGGCGCCGCCATCCGGGCGCCGCCATCCGGGCGCCGCCATCCGGGCGCCGCCATCCGGGCGCCGCCATCCGGGCGCCGCCATCCGGGCGCCGCCATCCGGGCGCCGCCATCCGGGCGCCGCCATCCGGGCGCCGCCATCCGGGCGCCGCCATCCGGGCGCCGCCATCCGGGCGCCGCCATCCGGGCGCTGCCATCCGGGCGCCGCCATCCGGGTGCCGCCATCCGGGCGCCGCCATCCGGGTGCCGCCATCCGGGTGCCGCCATCCGGGCACCGCCATCTGGGCGCCGCCATCTGGGCGCCGCCATCTGGGTGCCGCCATCTGGGCGCCGCAATCCAGGCGCCGCAATCCTGGCGCCGCAATCCGGGCGCCGCAATCCGGGCGCAGCCGCCATCCAGCCGCCATTCAGCCGCCATCCAGCCGCCATCCAGCCGCCATCCAGCCGCCATCCAGCCGCCATCCAGCCGCCATCCAGCCGCCATCCAGCCGCCGCCGTCATCCGGCCGCTATCATTTGGCTGTTGCATTCCACCGTCGTGACTGCCAAAGTCACCTAGCACACCAGACCAGATCGGTACGACCAATAAATTAAATTAAGGTAAATCTTTAGCTTAGGACACCTACATCCGAAAACCTCCCCAACACCTGAAAATAAACCATGGGACCCGGGAATAAAAGAGGCCTTTGGAGCCCACCCTAGTGGCTGCCGACAGGCTTAGACCAGCAGCTAGGGGCTTAGGCACGTCCCCTTCTGGGACGGTGGAGAATTTCCCGGGCTTAAACAGTTATTAGTTTCACGTATAAAAATTACCACTTTAGTCTGTTATTTGAAATGAGCATCTTCAACTATGTGAATCGTTGACTTCACGCATAAGTAATACTAAACATATAGTCAAAGTTAGACACATTATTTTCAAAAGTTTTGTTCCTCAGGCCAGAGAATCGATTTTAAATTTGTTTTTGCAAAATCCGCCAGATAACTTTCATGTCAGGATCTCGTGTTCTTTGATATTGTCTCCTACGGACATTTTTTAGACTGATCAAGAGCTGAAGATCGTCGTCTATTATAATTGAATCGAATTTAACTTCGCATTTTGGTACTGAGGCAGCTCTTGCTTCAACCTTAGAAGTAGTCAGAGATTAAAGAGCATAAATAATTTCATCTTTGGTTTGCAAAGGAATGTTTGGGTCGAAGTTATATTCCATAAATGTTCGATATTGCTCCCAATCAGCTCTATGGTAATTGAAAGTACAGCTGTTGGGATTTGAAACTATTGCTTGTGATATTTAAAAAAATACTTGAAGGTGATTAGAACCGAAGTCAGCATGGGCAACTAATTGGCTACAAAGTTCACATGAATCAGTAGTTGAGGGATTTCTTGCTGAAGAAAAGCATGTTGGGCTGTTTGGATATTGAATAGTGTTATAACCTGCAGAACAATCATCAAACAGAATATTACCATTGGAATTGCTTTGAGCATTATTCCATGAGCGGTGTTTTGCATTAAAATCACCAATAATGAAGAATTTAGACCTATGACGGGTAAGTTTCTGATGGTCACCCTTGACAAAATTTTTTTGCTGACCAACGCATTGGAATGGCAAATAGGCAGCTATAAACGTAAGTTGTCCAAATTTTGTTTCAACAGAAACACCCAAAGTTTCAAAAACTTTGGTTTCAAATGAAGGAAGAATTTTATGTTTGATTCGTCTATGAACAATGATGGCAACGCCACCATAAGCTCCATCAAGACGATAATTTCTATAAATCAAATAATTTGCGTCCTTCTTAACCTTATGGTCAGGTTTAAGGAACGTTTCAGTTATAACGACAATATGCACGTTATGAACTCTCAAAAAGTTAAATAGCTCGTCTTCATTATCTTTAAGAGATCGAGCATTCCAATTTAAAATATTTAATGCTTTAAAATCCATTACTGAATTTTAAAGTCATGACAATATTATTTGCAAATTTTACTTCAGTTTGAATAGCATCAAACATGGAGTTAGATTTAAGCATGCCAGTAATCATGTCAATTAATGATTTCTGTAAAAATTTCATTTTAGTAACAGTAATGCTTCCTAAGTCAATTTTTTTTAAATTTCCGTTACAATTACGTTGGTTAGTATTCTGATTTATACCCGCTGCAATAGCAGCATAGGTAGCTCCATTAACTCGTTGAACATTGTTAGCTGCGAGGGAAGTAGATATAGATGAAAAATGTGAAGCATAGGTGATATTTGTACCTACGGGTACGAATGTAGATTTTGTACCTCGCTGACCGTTGTTAGCAGCAGAGCAATTTGTACCTGATCGGAAACGTGGAGCGTTTCCTACCTGTCGCTTAGAACGAGATTGTAGGATCGCTTTGCGAGTCTTACATTCCCAAAAATTGGATTTGTGGTTTTCACCACAATTTCAAAATTTAAATTTCTTAGGATCTTCCTTCACAGGACAGTCGTCCTTTGCGTGAGAGGAATCACCACAATTCATGCATTTAGCTGGCATGTAGCAATTTTTAGTTCCGTGACCCCATCCCTGGCACTTACGGCACTGGGTGAGGTTTTGGAAATTTCCTCCAGTCTTCCTGAAGTGTTCCTACTTCACTCGGACATGGAGCATAAGGCTAGCTTTTTCCAAGGCCTTAAGGTTGTTTAGTTCACTAAACGTGAAGTGAACTAAATAAAAATCATTAGAAATCCCGTTGCGCGAATCGCCAGGACGGGATTTCATTTTCATTTTGATTACTTGGAGTGGCACAACTCCAAGTTATTTTGCCAGTTCATCTTTGATCTGATCCAGGGATTCACCACTGGGCAGTCGTTTCATGACAACCTTGAACACACGTTCAGTTTTGGTGTCGTAAGTAAAAAATTTTTGCTGCTTCTCAGTAAGATACTTGAAAAGACATTTAAACCCGTCCAAGGTTTCAGCCAATTTGTAGTGAACACTTAACTTTCACGAAGTTCAAAAGTTCCATGCGAAGAGCATGGAAATCGGAAGTGGTTATCACAATAGGGGGAATCTTTTCTTTCTTGGCATTAAGTCGGGAAAGTTTACTAAAAATTTTCCTGTATGATGGATCGCTCTCATCATCCGTGAGCAAATCAAATTGATTGCTCAAATTAATTTCATCAGAAGAGGGATCAAGAGATTGCCTTTTTCTTTTGCGTTTAGGCGCCATGGCGGTAGTAAATTTTTATCCAAATCGACTTCCAAGCAGATTACTATAAAAATCTGAAGGATCGAAGAGGAATTTTCCAAATCGATATCCAAGAAGGATTACCTCGGGTAGGGTCCAAACAAGGATCGAAGAGGAATAAGAGTTGAACAAGGTAGAACATTTTTACAGGTTGGGCACTGAAAAGTGCTGTTTAAATTTGTTGTAGCTTTAGGTAGTAGTAACACTTCCGTCAGCAAAAACCAAATAGATCCGCACGGCAATAGAACACGATGCGGACTCATTTTTCTCGGCTTTAGTTTTCGTAAAACATGAGTTGTTCTACTCCAAAATTTCCTAGTATATAAAGTAATAGGCATAATGAGCAGTTTTATAGAAAATTGTAATGTGTATTGTAGATCACTGAAAAGGTCACAAATATTTCTTTGCATATAACATTCATAATAAATCAAATGTTACCCCAATATACCGTGCCGATTCTAATTTCGGACACTTAAACTCGAATTTCGGACACTTTTAAAAGTTGATTATCTCGGTCGAATATGATCCACATGTCTTGTAAATTTTAAATTTTTTTGACTAGTGCCCTCCACGATCATCTAACATTATTACTTTGTTTCTAACTGGATGTAATATTTAATTAAAAATGAAAGTGTCCGAAATTTGAATCGTCCGAAATTTGAATCGTCCGAAATTTGAATCGGAACGGTACGTTAAAATACAAAAAAAAACTTTATGCAAGGAATTTATTTGTTCACCCAAAAAAATCTAAACGTTTTTCAATTTAAGTAACTTAAAAATTTAGAACTATGGCTCACTTTAACCTCTAATTCCCAATTTATTGTATTCTGCAATCCCTCAATACTTCATGAACTGTTGTATGAAGGTACATTATTCAGAAAATATATACCAAACACTAAGGTTTTACGCAAAATAAAGCTGTGAAAAAAAAGGTTCTTCGGAAAATTTAGTGGTAGATTGGGTGAAATAACCGAAAACATATAAGGCTCTGTGGCTTACAAAAAACTGCCCACAATTGATTTCTCAGACTTTTTTCCTCCGACAAAGTCTTTGTTCATATCAGAATGTGTTTCGTTTTTGGCATATTTTTTTTTTTTTTGTAAGTTTTTACCCTATTTTGTCCATGCAAACTAACGTGAATTTGTAAAATATTATGGCAAGCGCAATAATGCAATACACAGCAAAAAAATAAATTATTATGTTACATCCACGAGGATGCACTCCAATCACGTCGAAAATCTCATATAATTGTTATGGCCACCAAAATAAACAAATGCAGTAAGAGCAGCGTAATGTCAGTTCTTGCACTGTATTAATGATAATTTTGTCCTTTTTGGCACGTAATATTACACCATATTTTTGACACGATTGAAGCAATGTTGAGAAAATGTCCATCCCGATAGTTTTCCTCGACCAGTAATCATGGTAATCGAACCCGCCACCTCCGGCATGGTAATACCATGCCTATACCAACTATGCTATCTGAGGCGCCTAAATAATAATTCGATGGAATTTATATCGACCGCACACCTTGCCTGGCGTGTACACCTTACATACAACAGGAAAATTTGCTCCATCTAAACATGCAGTTGCTCACTGTCGGGAAAACTCATGGTGGGAAGAGACGAATAAAAAATGTGAGTGAAAAGCCAAAAGTCACCCATGTGGCTAATTAAATTCCATTACCAAGAGTTGAAGTTAATGCGGAACGAGACCAAAGGCACACTCAAGGCCCATTCTTTCTGAGGTGAAGTGAATGCGCTTTTGCGGCAACAACGGGTGACTCGGCTGGCGGTGGATTCAGACAGCATAAAATGACTTTATGTTTGTTATGTGGCCGTCGTGTGCTTACGAAGCACATTGTGGTCGGCTTGGATGGTGAGGATGATGCTGCTGGGACGGCCACGGAAGGCATCACCTTAACCAGATTTTGTTTTGCATATGAAGATTTAAAATCGTCGGGAGCTGCTGTCGTTTGAACTGAATTTAGAGCAAATGACGTTAAATTCCCAACAAAAAATCAATGAAATGTGGTATGGCCCAGACTGAATGCTGAGTTGCACTTAAGTTCATTGTCAGAGTAGCAATTTACCAATGGAAATCGGAAGCATGCTATTGCTGCTGCTGCTGCAATCCAAGTTGTTCCATAGTTGATCCCACCGGTGTCAGCTGCGATGTCACATGGTAAGTGCAGCAGTGCAATTTGTTCTGTAACCTGTTACTCGCTGTGCAGTTGCAGCAATACCCTGCACGTTCGAAGCATCTGAGCCAAAAGTGAAAACTACATTTTAGAATTGGATCCGTCATCCCTCCCTCCGAAGATTCTTTCATGTTGGC